TACAGTCGACCCCCCTATAACACTGTTGATTATTCCGTTTTATATGAATTCCATGTTGTACGAGTCACTTAGATTTTACAAATACGTGAGCCGTTCACAGCCCAGCATATGTATTTGTAAAATCTAAGTGACTCGTACAACATGGAATTCATATAAAACGGAATAATCAACAGTGTTATAGGGGGGTCGACTGTAATTATTTAATTTAGATATAACCATATTGGGCATAATGTATGTTGATAAAAATCTGGCTGTTGTTTTATTAGTTTATCAAATTGTTGTAAATGTTGTTATGATTATGTAATATGAGAAGATTTTTCCTGACAAACATTTTTAAAAATGTATTTCTGAAAAATTAAGTATTTCATACAAAGGAAGATAGTTGTGGTGAGAAAATATTGTGCTACATTGTTTTTGTTTATTGCATGTAGAATTTAGCTACTTCACATTAAGCATTCCTAGCACAGTAAGCATTGTGCTAGGAATTAGTAATAAATTCTCTGATAACATTAAACAAGAGCATATATTGATAGAGTAGTTATTAGAAGCCAGAGATAATTCTTAAACCATTGTAGACAACTCTGGAGTCACAGGTTACTGATGACAAGTTTTGTAAAATTTGCAATGAATACATTTACTGGTATATACATTTTTGTAAAACTTTTTAAATTTTATTTTAAATTTATTTATTTTATTAACTCAGCATATGATTTTACACTATCAATTTTACACTTACAATTACTATCTTTTACATTATTTTAAATAAGTTTAAAAAAAATTTTCTATTGGTTTTACTCAGAACCTTCATCAACTTTTTGTATAGTCTTCAACTGAAGAAGGGACTAGACTCAAAATGCATCTTGCAGAATAATTATGTCAAAGATTTGATTTGTCCATTTAAATGAAGTGCTAATTAATCAAACATCTTTACAATGCCCGATATGATTAAAGCTATCCATTGCCTAACTCTAATGCCAAATTGTCTATTAAATTATTAGTATTATAGCCATTTCTAGCCTGATAATATTCAGCTTTGGTAGATGGATAGCTCTAAATGAAGTGCATTCTTATATCATAAGTCCTT